GGTTTGCCGCATGGAGGACTCGGACAACGACATGTGTTTGCACACGTTTATTGTACTTAACATTGGAACTGCAAAACGGCCCTGCAAGGCCAACTATATACAAACCCACCCAGCACATCCACAGTCCCATTGGAGGGTTTGAATTTCCCGCCAAAGTTCCTATTGGTTCATGTTGGGGGAACTAGGATCCTCAGTTCCTATTGTCTGGAGGAGCTAAGCTCTTGACTGGTGGCGGTCCACGTACATAACAGATGCTTTACACACAGTAAAAGGGTAGTTCTGCCTGCACTGAAATGAGTGGGATAAGACACGTCTTTCTCTCCCCCTGCCACTCATGTGAATGGTCAGTTTAATGTCCTTGGCTTCAGCGTCAACATAACCTGATTCATACCCCGCTGCATTTTGGTTCATGTGTGCATGTACATCTGCATGTACTGAAGGGCCTTTCGTTCTAGGACGGTTGTGATTGTCAAAGGCCCCTAAAGCTGTTTGTACCCTGGGATTTGTTCTTTTACTGCACAAGTGATAAGTTCACCTAGAACTTGATGACGCTGCGAATCTTTGCTTTTGGCCTATTTCTGAAATTGACATTTCTAGTCCTCCGAGTTCTGCACCAAGGAAAGCTGAGGCCTGCCTGCCTCTTTAAATTCTACAGATGGGCCAAAATGTCATTGATCCATACAAGGTTCTTTTTGTAGAAAAAACCCAGCAGGAACTCATTAGCATAATAGGCCACACCCAACAGCATAAACTCATTAGCATATTATGCTACACCCCTGACAGCACAGCTCATTAGCACATTAGGCCGCACCCCCATGTTACCAGAAGTGTGCTCATCCAGCCACACCCACCTTTTGTTTCTTATTCTGTTTACCTTGTTTGTTGTCAAAACCCAGGGCTTTTTTGTAGCAGGAACTCCTTTGCATGTTAGGCCACACACCCCTAATGTAGCCAACCCTAATGAGTTTCTGTTGTTGGGTGTGGCCTATTATGCTAATGAATGCCTGCTGGGCGTGGCCAACTCGGGCGCCAGACGGAACTCCGTTCCTGTGCGTTCCTGCCCAAAAATAGCCCTGGATCCATACCAATAATGTACCTTGCTAGTTATGGATGGGGGGGAGCTAAGGGGGGAGGAGTCTCTGCAGCAGCTGGCTCTGTGGCCAGGAAACACCAGCAGCTACACAGAGTGTTGTCTTGTGTTAACCATTTACAGTCTTCACACCCAAGTGCTAGCCATGCTGAATCAGTGTCTGGGGCCTCTGTAATAACCTGGCCAGCCACTGGAGCCCTTGGAGAGGAGGACTCTGTGCTCCTGTGGCCACCACCCATGGAGATCGGACTCCTTTGAGAAAACCGGTGTGAAACCTGAGCTTGAAAGCAAGGTTGACGAGCCCAGGCAGCCCCGTCTCCATTGACAGTCAATATTTTTAATGCAAAACGAGAGAGCTGAGTGTGTGTTTAAATTGGTCCAAGTCTCTGTTCCTTGGATCTGTCGTATAATGCCATGTTTGGACAGCTATCGGGGCAGAAGCGACTAGCACCCCGCTACTGCCAAGAGCTCTCCCTGGCACAGTGCCTTTACTTTTCCATTTTTTTCATGTGGCAACTCCCATGGTTTAGTATTTATTGGCAGAGGAGATACCTGGGAGAGCATCCATGATTATTTGTCGGTTAAAACATTTATGCCAGCCTTCCTGCCAGGAAACTGGGATCCAGTGTGGGTGATGATAAAAACAACATAAAATATATATGTTTTAGAAGCCAGCAATAACAGCTTAAAGCTGTTAAAGGGCCATTGATTACAGTCTGATTAATAGATGGCTGGGAAGGGTTCTCCTGATAAGCTCGGGTTCTCCTTCCAGCTGCCTTCCAGTGCCCCCCCCCCTAAATCTCTGCCGTGCCTCATCCTTCACCACTCTGCTCACTTCCCTCACATAGATGCACCGGGAGGATCTTTGCATGTGATCTGCCCATCTGACTCTCTGAAGTGAGCAGGCAGCAGGGCTAAAGGGAGCCGAATCGCTGCTCAGTTCCTTCAGGCTTTCTCTGGCCAGTAAATAGGAGATCTTTCCAAAAATGTCTGTGACATTGCCAGGGCCTCTGGGGCAATCTCTCTTTTTATGGGAGTGACAGGCCCGTAGCCAGCATTTTTTAAGTCAGGGGACAATTAAATTTCTTAGGGGGCACTGGCTAATCAAAAGGATAGCTGGCTCCCTCACTGCTCCTGCCACTGGAGGAGGTCAAATCAGTTAGAAGCAGGTTTCTTCGCCAGACTTCAGAGATTATTGGACAGTGTGAGAGAGGGTCGCCAGTTCTGAGTTGGGAAATCCCTGGAGATTTTGGGGGTGGAGGCAAGGAAGGCCAGGGTGTGGGAAGGGAAGGGACCTCAGTGGTGTATCATACCATAGGGTGCACTCTCCAAAGCAGCCATTTTCTCCAGCGGGACTGACCTCTGTTGCTGAGGATCAGTTGTAATTCTGGGAGGTCTCCAGGCCCCACCTGGAGGGTTAGCAACTCTAGTGTGCCAGAGCTTGGGGTGAGCTGGGGTGGGGGAAGCTGCACAAGCCTGTTTCCCGGGTCTCTATGTTGTGTGTGGCCTCTTTAAGAGGCTAGCCCAGATGGTCTCAGTGCAAGCAGGAGAGTAGGAGGGAAACAGTTGTTTCACTTGCCTGTTAGTGACCTGCAGGAGTGCTGGGCCTACACAAACTATTCACCAGGCCAGGACAACCCTGGTCCTAGAGGACAAGAAAGAAAAAGCTCTTGGTTCCACCAACCCCCCCCCCCCCCAAAGCCAGCTTATCTGCTCTGAGGTTTTCAGTGTTAGCAAACCGTTAAGTTAAGGGAGCTGGGTGTTTTGTTCATAGAATCATAGAATCATAGAATGTTAGAGTTGGAAGGGACCTTGCAAGTCATCTAGTCCAACCCCCTGCACTCTGCAGGAGCATAGCCATTGTTCTACTGTGCAGGATTCTGAGGCAGGGTCAGCAGCAGTTCCAACAGCTAAAGATTTGCCTTCTGTGTGTACTGCTTGCAGCATCTGTGCTTGAATTCACAAGTGCACAAAGACTCAAAAGGCCTAACTACAGGTTTGTGTTTTTCCCAGGGGTATCCCTGGGTCTGTTCACAGACGTGTTCTGGAAGTGCCATTTCCCAGGTGCACACAGAACTGATTTGGATCAGGACCTCAGCGTGCAGGAGGAGGGGACTTAATGTGGGGTTTTAACCATATACGCAGCTGCATGCATTGTATGTAACGTGAGAATCCCTCAGTGTGTGGATAAAGAAAAATCACGTTGTAACTGAAATCCGACATTATCCTTGGTTTCACTTGTAAAGTGAATGCATTGACTCTTTCTTACAGACAGATGTACACACAAACATACAGGTTGTGCGTGTGTTCGCTGTAGTGCGAACAGGGCTTGAATGTTAGGTGATCACCCACTATGGCTCAGCTGTGTGTGGGGGGTGCGTGACGAAAGTAGCAAGCCCAGCTGGTAAAGGATGCCACAGGAGACCGAAACGTAGAATGAGCCACCGTTTACCTGACGTAGGGTAAACTCGTCTCTTGTCCTCAATGGCTTTGCTCACGGATCCAGAACTGCGGCCCGCGTTGTCTAAGGCACTGTTCAGTTTGCAGTCTTCTTGTGCAGCCTTAGGGACTAAGACGAAGAAATCCCCAGTGTGGATTTTGCCTCGTCCTGTACTCACTGGGTAGTCTCAGGTGAGCAAAAATCTTTCACCTTCCCTCACCTGCTCCATGAGGATTGTCCGGTCTCCCTTAGAGGGTAGTTATTATGAGCACTGCTGAGATGAAGGAAGACCAGGGGATCTCGAAAGTTCAGTAGTATTACAAAGAAACCTAAATGGGACCAACATACCTGAGGGGACCGCCTCTCCCCATATGTGCCCCAAAGGGCCTTGCGCTCTGCTGCTCGAGATCTTCTGGTTGTCCCCAGCCCAAGGGACATCTGCTTAGTCACAACCAGGGCTTTTCCCATCGGGAGATCAGGGCCCTGCGGGACTTACTACCGTTCCACAGGGCCTGTAAGACAGAGTTGTTCCGCAAGGCCTTTGGTTGAGGCAGCAGGCGTCCAATAAAATCTTGCTTCCCCCCACCCCCCGCTGTAGTCTACCATCTTTATGCGGCCCAGAGCAAGCAAAAGGAAATGGCACCAGCTTGAACTTTATGAATACGCATAGCGGGGTCCTGTTTTTAATTTATTTTATTTATTTATTTCATCACATTTCTATACCGCTCCTTCCCGGAGGCTCGGAGCGGTTTACACATATATTAAATCATCTAACTAGGGCCACATATATATTTCAGGGGAGGTGAATGCCTTACCAGGCACCTAAGCAGTGTAGGTCTTTTTCTGTGGCGGGTCTTGCTGGAACCAAGCGGTAGTGTCTTCGGCAGAGGTCTGTTCTCTTTGGCTCAGCTCCCCGGTAGGGTCCTCGCGCGGAGTCGCACTGGTCTCTGTCCCGCAGGCTCCGACCGTGCTTACATCGTTTACGTTGTTTTAATCTGTTTTGACTACTATGTAAATTATTTGATATGCATTTGACTTTTATGATGTCTTAGACTTTGCTTGTGACATGCCCTGAGCCTGCTTGCAAGGAGGGCAGAATATAAATTGAATAATAATAAGCAGAAGAGAAGAAGAGGAGATTGGATTTATACCCCGCCCTTCACTCAGAGTCTCAAAGCAGTTTACAATCTCCTTTCCCTTCCTCTCCCCACAACAGACACCCTGTGAGGCAGGTGGGGCCGAGAGAGCGCTTCCCAGAACTGTCCTTGAGAGAACAGCTCTGACAGAACTATGGCTTGCCCAGGGTCATCCAGCAGTTGCAAGTGGAGGCGTGGGGAATCAAACCCGGTTCTCCCAGATCAGAGTCCGCGCACTTAACTGCTACACCAAATAAAGCAGCAATACAATAAGTAGTAAATATTCTGATGGATTTAGAAATGTGACTGGTCATTTTCCTTTCTCCCCTTCTAGCCATCAAGGTGCTCTGCACGGGCTCCTGTGGGGTGTCAAGCAAGATGAATGACACAGCGTGGACAGTGGAGGAGCAGTACTTCAACATCACCCTGACCGTGGCAGATAAAGGTATGACAGGGGGAGGGGATCTGTGGAAGCTGAGGTCTCCCTTTGGCATCAGTTGTGGCCTGGAGTCAGAGGAGATTGTGGTCAGGCTTCCCAAGCGTTGTGCTTGGTAACTCAGCAGCCGCAGGGTTACCCCGGTTCAGCTCAGAGGCACAGCTGAGGTGTGGGGGGGGGGCTGTATTCTCTACCTCACATGCCCCCCCCCATACCAGAATTACTCTCTACCTTAAATGCCCTCCACCCCCAGAATTACTCTTCATAGTGCCGGGGAAACATGGGGCTTGGTTGTTCATAGCTCCCCTGTGGGGCCCTTCTCTGCAAATGACAAGTATCGGCTTTGGGTGGTATTCCCAGGTGGGCGAACAGTTAACCTCTGCTGCCCAAGCAGTGGCCCTGATCAGAATCAGAGTGGGAAAACCCATGTGCAGATGCACATGTGCAGGAAAAACCATGCTGCAGGAAAATGTGCAGGAAAAACCATGCTGGATTCTGATGAAGGCTTGATGCTGGCAGGGGGTTTAAGAGGCGGGCAGGGGGTTTAAGAGGCGGACCATCTCAGAGATGTTTCTTAACTGGTGTGAAATCAAAGGGAGGGTTTTTGGCTCCCATTCCTATTCCTTAAATGTCAGCAGGCATGAGCAGGCTTACCTCCCGTTCTGTGGCTTCTGTTGATCAAGCTGCTGCCAAGGGCGGAAGACCAGCTGGGACAGGTCAGCTGGCAACCTGATCTGTGCATATCCTACACGCGTGTGGAGTATAGTGTTGTGCACTGACCTGGAGAGTTTGAGAAGTCCTGTTTGTTTGTTTTTTAAAATGCAGTCTTCTGGTCCTTATTACTGGAAAGACACGCATGGAAGTCTGCAACAAGTACTCCTGTCTCCGAAGTCAGAGAGGAGTCCAAAAAGATTTGAAGTGGTTTGCAGGGCAGAGCTTCCATGACCTGCATATTTTTTTTTTTGCCCAGGAATAGACCTGTCATATAGCTTCTGTATGCAGAGGTGGCCGAAGTGTTGCCCAGTAACTCCCAGAATGCACAGCGACAAGGCAAGCCGAACTTTGCAATTGTGTGGAAGTAACGCAGGAGTAATGTCAGCTCTTCAGGGCAGGGATCTGTGTTTGCTTTATGCTGGGTTCTTTGCAGCTCCCTCCCTAGGCAGACGAGAGAGCAAGAGTCCAGTAGCTCCTTAACGACTAACAAAATTTGGAGCAGGGTATGAGCTTTCGTGAGTCACTGCCCACTTCTCACGACCGCTCATCCCCTGTCACAAATTTTGTTAGTCTTTACGGTGCTATTGGACTGTTGCTCTATGCCACTGCTGCAGACAGACTAACACGGCTACCCGTCTTGATCTATCCCTAGGAAAGGGACTCTTTTGCTAGTCAGATGTAGACCTTGAAATTTTGAGATACTTTACTGGCAAGCTTTTGTCTTTCTGAGCGTATTCAACTTTGTTTGTTTGCTGTTTGTGCTGTGAATGTGTATATATAGTGTTGAAGCCCTGCAGATCCTTTTGGTTGAAAGGCAACCTTTAAACAGTGTAAATAAACAAAGCATCATGTACACAGTACGTGTAAATGCATCTCCACAGTTTGGGAGGGCATAAGGAATTGGAGGAGAGGGAGACAGTTTGGAAATCCCACTTCTGTCCCCTGAGATTTCCCCCTCGAGGATTCTCAAGGGTTTGAGCTAGCTGGCTTCTTCGCCCCTCTTTCTCCTTTCAGTGACACCCGGCTGTTTCCAGCTTTCCATCCAGTGTTTCCTCTAAGCTGAGTGAGTGTGAGCTAGCTCACGGTTTTTTAGCCTCCAGCTCACACATTTTTGTCTTTGCTCAGGAAGGACGGCTCCAGAGCGAACTAATTTATGCAGCTGCGGTAGCTCGCAAAGTAGAATTTTTGCTCACAAGACTCCACAGCTTAGAGGGAGCATTGGTTTCAACCCTCTGACACCTGCTCAGTCCTCATCAGGTCTTGCCATTTTTGTCCCCCCAGTTAAATTACACTCACATTTTCCTATATACCCCAAATAGATAGAGGCCTCTACCACATCACTTAGGGGTGCCAGCCTTCAGGTGGGACCTGGAGATCTCCTGGAATTACAGTTGATCTCCAGGCTTAAGAGATCAGTCCCCCTGGACAAAATGGCTGCCTTGGAAGGTGGGCTCAGTGGCGTTATGCCCTGCCGAGGTCCCTCCCCAGGCTCCATCCCCCTAATTTCCAGGAGTTTCCAAACCTGGAGCTGGGAACCCTAGCCACGTGGCATGGTTTTGCAGCTGCCATCGTCCATACAAGGGAGAGACACTGTGATCTGCCACTTCCCAATATGCCCGTCATACTAGGATGATCAAGGAATGGAAGGGGAGGGGGCTATGCAGATAGAAGAGGTGAGTTGGACTGTAGGAACAAGCTTGATTCTCAGTGGCTGGGTTTTCTGTGGCTGGATAAGCCGAGTCTGTGAATGCGTCCCTCGACATTCTCCTGGGGCGATTTCGCACTAGAGCTGCCTCGCGGCGCAGCCGCAGTTTGCCCCGACACAAACATGTCAATTTCACAGCTGAAGCTGCGGGGCTGCATTTTGACTCGTGGCTTCGCCCGATTTCCTCCGCAGTTTTGTGATCCTGGGTTTTGAGGATCACGAAACTGTGGAGGAAATCGGGCGAAGCCGCGGGTCAAATGCAGCCCCGCAGCCTCAGGTGTGAAATTGACATGTTTGTGTCGGGGCAAATGGCAGCTGCACCGCGAGGCAGCTCTTGTGCGAAATTACCCCTGGAGTAAAGGAAAGCACTTGGGCTGCATCCACACATCATTGGGTAAGCACACCATCATTGCAGAGTAGCAGTCATTCACAACTGGAGCACTTTAGTCCATGTAAGAAAGTCAAGTTGTGAATAGGGTTCCCAACACTTCTTGGTAAATACTGGGGGGGCAGTGCCTGATGAGGCTGGAGTTTGGGGGTGATTTGGTGTCACTTTAGAGTGATGCCATAGGTAGTCTCCCTGGTCTCTGTGGTCTCTGGGGGATATTTATAGGTAGTATTGAGGGGAGGCCATTTTTTTTCTTCCGTTCCTCATAGGTTTGCCAGGTCCTTTTCTTCTGCTGGCGGGGGGTGGGAGGGAGCTTCTCAGGAGTGGGGGGGTGGGGCAGCGTTGCACGGTGATGCTCTAGTATTTTGGTCAAAACTCAATGGTTACCATAGAGTTTTGACCAAAATACCCAGAGTGTTGCCATGCAATGTTCCAACCGTGATGATGTCACTTCTGGGGACATTGTGTCTGGCTGTGGCTGTTGGGGTGAGGGCTTCCCCCTGCCGGCCAGCTGACTGGGGGCGGGCTGGAGCCTGTGAAATTGGGGATCCCCCACTCTCACCTGGGGGCTGGCAACCCTGGTTCTTCAGGGGTGGGAAGCTGAGGAAGGGGGCTGGTAATGGGAGGCCCAGGTGTAAATTATTCCTACAGTGCAGCAGTAGTGCATTTATCTCGCTATGAGTAGCTGCATGAAGGTACTTCTGTAGGCAAAATTTGATTCCTCTTGTGCCTCTTCCACTGGCAGGGATCCCACACATGAGTGTACGACAGACCCAGGGCAATTTCTCCCCCCATTTCCCCCCCTCCTTGCATCACTTGCCCTTTCCACTATTTTTGTAAGGTTTTACTAGGAAACAATATTGTCTTAGGTGCAAGCAGTGGACTGGTCCTCTCTAATGGTCCTGCGTTGCTTGGCGCAAAGGGAGATGCCTGTTGAGATTGTACTTGGCACCTCTCTGAGCCGGAGGGCAGAAGGATCTGGCTTCTCTCCAGATGCTCTGGCTTTGAATGAATGTCGCCTTCCACTGGCTTGGCCAGCGGGACTAGGGGAAAGAAAAAAACCCAAGCACACATAATTCAGGAGGCCTCGATTTGAAACCAGCCGGCAAAAACAGTGGGGCTTTGTAGTAAATGTGTGCTGGTCAGGGGGGGGGGGAGGGAATTTCAGGTGACTCATTAAAAAATGGGAAATGGGAGGAGGGAGCAGACAAACCAGTCTGGCTGCTTCTTCTTAAGCATGGGCCGGGGGTGGGGTGGGGGGGAGCAAGAAGGTTTCAGTACATTCCCAGTCTGAAAGACTGTTGCCGTTTCAGTCTGCAAACAAGACCAGGCAGGGGTGCTGGATGCTGCTGCTTTGGTGCCGTGGGTGGTCCCGGGATCTTGTGTGTGTTGACAGAGACACTCCCCTCTCTTCTAGGAGCTTTGGTAGGAAATGTTCTGTTCCCCTGTCACTGCCTGGTGGGAACGCAGCCCTGCAGTTTCTCCCCTTCTCTCCCCCCCCCCCCAAGGGTTTTGGAAAGCACTGCAGTAAACACACCCCAAATTGAATCTGGATGGCTGCCTTCTGGCAGTGAAGGGAGCTGCTAAGAGACTAGAGGCCGATACAAAACGTTTTGGGGAGGGGCTGAGGAGTGGGGGTCCAGCACCTGCTTTGCCGCCAGCAGCCCCAGGCTCAGTCCCTGGCACCTCCACAGGGTTGCCAGCTCCCGGTTGGGAAACACCTGGAGATTTTGGGGGTGGAGCCTGGGGAAGGGAGGGGCTTCAATGGGGTATTGATGCCACCGAGTCTGCCTTCCAAAGCAGCCTGTGCCCTGGAGACAGGCCTGAAGCTACAGTGGGGGCCCTGCCCCACAAATAGCCATGTCAAAAACCTTATTTTTGGGGAGGGTGGTTTGTGTGTGTGCGTGTGCGTGTCTAGAAACCTTATTTTTTGAGGAGAGGACCCCCCCCCCAGTGGCACTGGGGAGGCTTTCCTCGCTCCTCAACTGTGGAATTGGGGGGGGGGCATTATAGGACCTGGGAAAAGATAACTTGGAAAGCCTTTAAATGCCTTTTGAGTTCCCTTCCAGAGGGCAAGAAAGCTTAGAAGGGCACTCAAGAGTGGCACCGTCAATACATCTCCCAGAGGCTCATGGGAATGCTGTTGAAAGACTCACCATGACCTAGGTGCTGTACAGCAGGGCTGGGCTGGCAGACAGGAGG